AAAACTCAGTAAGGCGTTTGCAGTAAACACAGGAGTCAGACAAGGGTGCTTATTATCACCAATGATATTCCTAATTGTGGTGGACTGGATTATGCGTCAGACAGTCAGAAACGAGAAGACAGGGATATTCTGGACCGACGTGAAGAACCTAGAAGACCTGGATTTCGCAGATGATTTATGTTTGATGTCACACAAAATCAAAGACTTACAAGGGAAAACCGACAAACTAGTCGAAGAAGCAGCAAAGACAAGATTCCAGGTGAACATAGACAAGACGGAGGTTATGAAAATAACCAACCAACAACAACAACAGCAGCAACATCCAGTGCCAATCACCATCAACGGGAGGGATTTGAAGAGGTTACTTCATTCACTTATCTAGGGAGCATTATCTCAACTACAGGAGGAACGGACGAGGATGTCAAATCGAGAATCGGGAAGGCGAGAAACACATTCATCAACCTAAAACCAATCTGGAAATCTTCGTCACTCAGCATCAACAACAAAATTTGGATTTTCAATACAAACGTCAAGTCAGTCAGTTCTTCTATACGTACGGATCAGAAACTTGGCGAGTCACAAAGAATATTTCCAACAGCCTGTTGCAGACCTTTATCAACAACTGTCTTCGTTCTATACTGAAGATCAGATGGCCGGAAAGAATCACCAACAAGAAACTATGGGAACAAACAAAACAAGAACCAATCGCCCAACAAATATGCAGGAGAAAGTGGAGATGGATTGGACACTCAGCTGAGGAGGCCGCTGGGTGACATCGCGCGTCAGGCCACTCGAGTGGAACCCGAAAGGGAAGCGGCGAGTGGGACGTCCAAGGATGACATGGAGGAGATCGTGTGAAGAGGAGTTGAAACAGTATGGACTAACATGGATGCAAGTGAAAAGTACAGCAGAAGACAGAAGCAAGTGGAGACGTGTAGTTGAAGCCCTATGTTCCACTAGGAACCCAAGGGAACAATAATAAAATAATAATTATGTAACTCGAATACACCTATACTCCAACTCCTCGTATACACTGGCTAATATTAACGACAGCTATGTTGGTGTGACAACTCTCAACACTTTTGTTACTGCCTTGTTTAATGAACGAGAGATTGTATATAAATGGGATTGTACAGCTAGCTGTAGAGGAAAATGAATTCGTCGTCTACAAAGACCCTCTTCACTTACACCACGTATTTTATTTTCATTAATGTCTGTTTAGATAGGAATTATTCATAAACTCAGACGAATCAGTGATCCAAAGACACAAGAGAAAGAATTCAACCTAAAGTTTCCGCTGAACACGGATTATGTCTAGAAGAAAGACCATGAAAGCTTCGTGCGATTGAACTACCATCCAGGAGTTAGAGAACTGTCTGTTTTCGACGTAAAATTTTGCACCGATGTGCAACAGTTCAAGTCACCACACTTCATGTAGCACACGAAGCAAGAGAAGAAAGTAGAAGAAATGCATAACAGAGACAGTTGACAGGGATATGAGACAAAGGAATAGTAATAACGAAGAGCAATATAGTTCCACTGGAAATTATAAGTCACAAGGAGTGGATGAATCTGCACCAGCCATCACTGACAACGATTTTGAGCCGTATCACCGATAATTGTCTCCAGCCATTGGTGCTTACCGCTCCGACGACCCCAACCAGTCGGGAAGTCAATACCTTCCTACGT